AGATGTGTGTGTGTGTGTGTGTGTGTGTGTGTGTGTGTGTGTGTGTTGTGTGTGTATGTTCGATCCCGTGTGCGTGTTACTATGTGTGTGTGTGTGTGTGTGTGCGTGTTACTATGTGTGTGTGTGTGTGTGTGTGCGGGTTACTATGTGTACTTGGGTTTTTCTTTGATTTTCCTGTCCCGAAAATCGACCTTCACCTTTGACCTCGGTGACTTTACCTTTCGGAATGTCTTCTTCCTTGATCTGAGTAAACTCTGGTTCCTGGACGTATCCTGGAAGAAACAGTGTGTCCATGTAAGTAAAAGGACTGTTCATACCTATAAACATGGAAGGAATTCCTATTTTTCTTTTCCGATCACCCGATCTTTCTCACTCTCCATAACACAACACTTAGAAAGCACCAGAGTGGGTAGCTGGCGTGTGCCCTTGGGTGGTTTCCTCCTCCTATCCTATCAAACATCTGTCGCCCTTATCTCCCCTTCTTCTTTGTGTTTGTTGCTATCTTGTAACACCTCTAATATTCAGCACTTATATGACCTAACTGCGTTCCAAATGCCGCAAAACTCTTACAAAAATAAAATTAAAAAGCTGCTGATGACGATGAATTTTCTCAAAGAAGCGACATCCATCTAGTCTTGTCAGAAATAAGACGTAATCAAAAGACGGTCGGTTTTATATGTCTGAGAAGAAATTTGAGAGCATTCAAAAGCTTCACTTCCACATGTGGGTGTGCGCAGTTTGAGGGTTTTTCTCACCAGTGTAGTAGACGCTAAAGTGCCCCTTGCCCCCACAGGCGTGGGTTCGGTTCTTGAAGCAGGGCAAGTTGCATTGGACATCCCTGGTCTTGTCTACTCCCTGGATGACGTCAGCACACATACACAAAGAGTAGGCCTGGGGGTGGAGGGGGAAGGAGGGAGTGCATATTAAGAGAGGTCGAAGTCACGGTGCAAATTAATTATGCAGTTGTGATTTCGGAATCGGTAGAGCAGTTAGTATGTTGTGTACGTATTATTACGGCCGAACTTTCTCGAACAGCCTCACCTGTATAATAGTCATCTAAACTTTTTTTCCAAAAGAAACTTGACACATTTTCTTTGAACGTAATACTATTAAATCAAAACAGATAACGATGATATTTATGTACAGTGCAGTGTGTTGGTTTTACTGTCTTCTGAATCAATTTTGACAACACAACTAAGTGAGTTCACTCACTTCTGTGTGTTTAGTATGATTTCATTTTTTAACTTTTTACTCTGTTAAGCATGAGTTTTCTGTGTTGTCTTTGCTATCAATTTGTAGCTTATTTCAAAACTTACAAAAGGTGTGTAATAACTTTATGAAAACATTGTTTGCATTTGAACTGCGAGTTTCAGAAATCTAGAAAAATGTCGACTTTCAACCATGCCGCGTCTCAGTGCAGATGAACGAGGGCGCGCTGTAGGGCATCACGAAGCAGGCGTTCCCGTGGCGGATGTGGCAAGGATTTTTAACTGTAGCAGGGAAACCATTTACAGTCTGCAGACCAGGTACATGAACACAGGAAGTACCAGAGACCGGCCAAGATGAGGGAGGCCGCGGATAACCACCCCGGCACAGGATCGGTATATCCGCTCCACCCACCAGAAGGACAAGTTCCAGTCTGCTCCACATACAGCCAGAACCCTCCCGCAACAGCAACCAGTGGGCACACAGAAAGTTATTCGTCTCAGGTCCTTTTCACGGATACGAGTCTAGATTTGTCCAAGGTCGCTACTATGGTCGAGTTCGGGTATATCGCCGTCGATATGAAAGGTTTGCTGACCAGTGTGTACATGAAATCCCTAACCGGGAATATTCGCAGGTGATGGTCTGGGGTGGAATCACAATAGATCACAGGACGGCACTGGTACATGCTCCGACAGCATAGAAGGACGCCATCTACGTAGCCACCATCTTGCAGCTACATGTGGCGCTGTTTGTGCAGAACCATCCAGGCTACACCTTACAACAGGCCAACGCTCCAGCCCATCGTGCCAAGGTGACACAAGCTTTCCTCGCACAGCAACAATTCGGTTCCATCCATCCCTGCAAGCAATATCAACCGACATGAACCCGATTGCACATGTGTGGGATATTCTTGGGCCTCAAATCCAAGAGATGAATCCCGCTCCTTAGAACAACGCTCAGTTGTTTCAAAGCCTACGCTTGGAACGCTACCCAACAACATCAAATTTCCAACATCGTCATATCTATGAGGCGCAGATGCCGCGCCGTCATTGCTGCAGGCGGTGGTCACACACGATATTAATGCTGCCGAACTTTCAGACATTACCTGAAATGCTTTTGATTTGACCAGTACCAGTGTGCTTTGCTATCATACGTTTCGAAAACCATAATTTAGGATGACTATGTCATTGTAAAGTTTCTTGTTGGAAAAATGCATATTTTCTGATTTTTTAAATTTGGACCCTATCATTTCAGGTGGGGCTTGAAGCACCAGGTGTGTATTATGTGCATTAAAATACAGGTTTTCAAATTCAGAAATGCTTCTTCTTTTTAGAAGTACAATTTTGCCCCTGTGTCTGCAAAGGTTTATTTTTTATTTAACACTCTTGTTTTTGTCAAGTTTCTTTTGGAAATGAGTATATAGACACAAACGGCCTCTTCCCATTTCCTTCTTTGTGTACTTTTTAAACTCTATACTGACACTGTGTAAGACGATCATCTAAGACATTATTTTTTTCTTGGACAATAGATGTCCGTCTTATACAGTTTTAACTATATTTATTGTCTTGCACCAGGAAACTTTCAGAGGGCTATAATAATGTTTTACCAAGACTGCTGAATGTTTACATTTCCTATTCTATTCGTTTGAGCCTCTTCGAACTACAATACCCCACCCCTCCCCCCTCCCTCCCCCCACCAAAAAAAGAACCCCCCAAAAAAATCATATTCCATTCTTACCCAAAATTTCATAGACAAATACCTTTTTAGAAATACTTTTGTAAAATGAGCCATAAGCAGTACTTAAATCTTTCAACTGAGTTTTACTTGGTAAATGTAACAATTCGTGTCGCTTTAAAATTGGAAGAACGTGCAGTTAATGAACCTGTCTTAATGGTCAACAGAACGGTCCAAGACACGTGACCGCTTCCCACTTCCCCATCGTGGTTTTAAAAAAAAACAACCCATTATAATGACATTGTCCAAGACATCGAACAGTCTAAAACAATCATTTTTCTCTTCGGCAGTAGATGGTGGTCTTTAAAAATATTTCTTGTATAAAAGTTCCGTTGTAACCTTCCTATGGAAAGGCGTTTAGGTCAATAGAAGCACATTGCCACAATAATGATCTCTTAGTGCATGGAAAAGTACGATTGATAGACAGAAACAACAAGCCACCAGCTTACAAAAATGAAATTATGTACATATATGTACACCAAACTACTATAAAAACCTATTTAAAAAAATAACTTTAAACAATGAATGAGTAATATGTACGAAGATCAGGAACACTCCCCCCCCTCCCTCCCCCCTCTGTCTGTCTGTCTGTCTGTCTGTCTGTCTGTCTGTCTGTCTGTCTGTCTGTCTGTCTGTCTGTCTGTCTGTCTGTCTGTCTGTCTGTCTGTCTGTCTGTCTGTCTGTCTGTCTGTCTGTCTGTCTGTCTGAAGAAGAAGAAGAAGAAGAAGAAGAAGAAGAAGAAGAAGAAGAAGAAGAAGAAGAAGAAGAAGAAGAAGAAGAAGAAGAAGAAGAAGAAGAAGAAGAAGAAGAAGAAGAAGAAGAAGAAGAAGAAGAAGAAGAAGAAGAAGAAGAAGAAGAAGAAGAGGAAAAAGAAGAAGAAGAAGAAGAAGAAGAAGAAGAAAAAGAAGAAGAAGAAGAAGAAGAAGAAGAAGAAGAAGAAGAAGAAGAAGAAGAAGAAGAAGAAGAACAACAACAACAACAACAATAACAACAACAACAACAACAACAACAACAACAACAACAACAACAACAACAACATTCTCCTTCCACCCACCTTAAGAAAAGCAAATCGTCTTCGACTGTTCCAGCAGCTCTCTGTACAGGCCACTACGTCAGTGTGGTGAGCCGTTATGTTGGCCCTGATCCATAATTCTGAATGCCAAGCCTCGTTTAGGGAAAAACACCCCGCGTAGCCTGACCACCCAGGACGGGAGCCTTGACAGACGGATATATTATGACTGAATAGTGTTATTTGTACAGGTGTCGTAAAAATCTCACTACTAAAATGTGAGGCAGCGTGGTGGAATCAGGCTCTCGTCAAAATAATCAAAGTGAAGAAACTTGCATTTTTCCGCAGGTTTTAGTTTAGTTTAGTATGGGTTTTACGGCGCTCGCAACTGAATAAAGTTATGTGAGCGCTTCCGAAGGTTTGTGAATTTTTATCAAATTTTTGTTTTTTTGGCTCAACATGCCCATTAAGGAAACTTATTTCTGTGAAGATTTTTCTAAAAAAACGTTGATTAAAGGCACAAAAATGTAAATTTTCAGTTACCACAAACTCTTAAGATAAGGACATAACTAATCTTTGGCGGCCATTTTCTCACTAATTTTACCTTTGAAAACAGGTGACCCCCACCTCCTTCTTTCGCAAATATCTCGACTTGTATTCAAGATAAATGGATTTTTTTTCATCTAAATATAAAGCGTCTTACCTAGATATCAGATCCAATCAAGTTAGACGGGGGTAAATTAATTTTTATCCAGTGCTTTTAATGCCAATGGCCCATATTGTATTTTACAGAAGAACCTTCTGTGGAGCAGCATAGATTTGTTTTTGTTTTTTTAGAGACCCATACATCAATAACACTTCTAATTGAGCTGTTAAAGAAAGTATCAGCAACAAAATGAAAAAGGTTGCTAATACAAATGTAATCTTTTAACGTCGTTTAGACATAGTAGCGTTTTATCACAGAGTTGACTTAGTTTAATCTATGTAGTTTTAGTTTCGTTTGTTTTAGTAGAGGTTTTATTGCGCTTGCAACTGCATTGGGTCATATGAGCGCCAAAGGGTGGATGTCAACAGAGAAGTCCTTACAGGGAATCAGACTTACTCAGCTCACCTCTCTAGCTTCAACAGCAACAAAGGCTGCTTCGACAATCAAGGAACCCCGGAAATAGAGAGTCACAGGAGTGTGACAAACATACAAAAGTAAAAGAAGAAGAGGGAAAATGATAATAGTAAGGATTAGGAAAGGAAAAGTACCAGTTCCCTGTTGCAGTTCAAGCACGGTTTAAGAGCATGACATTGATGAATCAGCACATTTATTTACAATTACAATTCTACTGTGCATAAGAACATGGTTAATGTCTTCCCTTTTGGAATGGCATGAAGACACTTCAGGGGGTGGTAGTTTTAGTTTTAAGTGACACTTTCAATACAAGTAGGTCATATATTACGATTAATATCTACGTGCTGAAGATTTGAGATGTTACTAGAGAGTAACATACAAAGAAAAGAAGGAGGCGAGTTAAGGATGATAGATATTTAACAGGACAGAAAGAGTAAACCACACCAGCACGCTCGGCAATTACCCACATAGAATCTTACATAGAACCTTACCGAGATCAAGGATGAGCTTAAAGCTCTGCACAAGAGCGTCAGCTGAAGATGTCACTGCGTCCGATGATCTTGCATCTATTTGGTGACTGCTTGACCGTTCAACGACACTGTGACCATGACTTAAGCTTAGGATTAGCACATCCCTCACAATAATATAAGAAAGCGATCTCAACACGGTCCACATGTGAAGCATTATGTTTGGTCAGAGAGCTTGTCGGAACAAAAAGTCAGTTTGAAATAAAAGTCTTCAGATTTTGACGTTAAGTTTCAGGCTACCGGCACTTGATTAGAAATCCCATTCCTATAAAGGGAGACAGTTTGTAATATGCTTTTTCGGAGTTTTTGTGTAACACTCTCCTCTGAAAAACAATAAAATAATTTTGACAGTCAACTTGCCGAGTTTTTCCTTTGAAAGGGAGGTACGTCATCAAATTTTGCGTACGTTCGCTGAATCCTTTGAAAATATTTTTGGTAATATTATGTAGGCCTATCTATTGATATTTCCGAAAAAAAAGCGTGTAAACTTCTCAACTCATTAAAGATATGAGGGCCGTCCTAGAAATATAAAGAATTTGTCCATATTACAAAACAATAATGTAGATCTAGCTATTTTTATTTCTTTTTTGATTCTGTGAATATTTTTAACAGTTCAGGGAATACTCGATTTGGGTGCACCTTTAAAATGAAAGAAATACAGTAAGCAGGGCTGCCTACCTCAAAGTTCCATTTCAGGTAAATTCAGGGTCAGTTTCAGATATTTTAGCCCCAAATCAGGTACGGTAGTACATAGACAAAGAAGGGGGGAAATGATCGTTGCCTCGGTACATATGGTAACCATCGATCAGCTAGCTTTTTGTGATGTTGTGATTTGGAAGACAACTCAGCAGATGCCCCGGTTTAAAAAATATTTTTGACATATTGATAAGCACTGCCTTTGTTGATGATAACTAATTTCACTTTTTGTTTCAAGCGTAATGATCAGTAATAACAGATACAGTGGAATCCTGATAAAGTCAACTTGCTTACAGTCAACACCTCACTCTGGTCCCATTTCTTACCTCCTTTGTTAAAGTAATTGTATTTCTGATACAGTCAACCGCTTGAGTGTTACATTTGTGTAAAGTCAACAATTTGGAACTAAATCCCAAAGATATTTAGGGCCTGAGCTATTGGTGCACACACCTCCAATTACTTTGTTCATTCAAATGTCGTGTTTTGGTGACAACTTCAGAATTACACTCACCGAAATTGAGATAAGATCTAGTTACCAGGTACTATACAATTTTGTAGCTATCATCTTCTATTTTCAATGGCCAGTAGTACAATGGATAAAGTCAACCTTGCTCAAGGTCAGCAATTTTTTTAAATCCTAAAGTGTTGACTTTATTTATCAGAATTCCCCTGTAATTTGTTTTATTTGTAAATGTAATTAATGCGCTTTTGAAATTGACATGAGTCCCATTTTTGTCCTTATTTTTGTCAGAAAGAGTGTGTGCATTCATGTACTTTGCTTGACTGATTTTCTCAGTTATTCTTTAGTGAATGTAGAACTACATATTATATACAATGTATTATTGTGGGCATACATGGGTTTATACATGTTTTTCATGAATATTATGTAAAGTGCATAGAAAAGGGATTGTAACACGGATTGACGTGAAATAATTGTAATATTATTATACGCATGCGAACATTGTAACATTACGCAGGGTTGTCTACCTCAAAGTTCCCATTTCAGGTAGATTCAGGGTAAGTTTTAGGTAGTTTGGTCCAAAATCAGGTACCGTAGTACAAAGACAAAGAAGGGGGAAAAAAGATGATCTTGGCCCCATCGGACGCGCTTGCTTTCCGTGATATTTGGTAATTATAATATTTTGAAAACTTGTTTGCGCATGCACATGTGTGTGTGTGTGTGTGTGTGTGTGTGTGTGTATGTGTGTGTGTGTGTGTGTGTGTGTGTGTGTGTGTGTGTGTGTGTGTGTGTGTGTGTGTGCTCTCGCGTGTGTTTATATATGTGGGCAGGGGAAGGAGGTGTTTGGGTTTGCACAAGTTAAGATGAACAGTGTGTATGAAATGAGGCGAGTTTTTTAAATTTTTTTTAAAAAGCATTTATGGACTATCGTTCAAGGCACCTAACTGTGCTAGAATGACAAAACTAAAGCTATTTAAACCCTTTTACTTCACATACTTCTTACAAACTTTCCGCTTCTCCGTTGGATTCTTAGAATTGTACACTAGTTGCTTCCAATATATAAATAAAAGGACATTGAAATTGGAACTATAGGTCTAGCCCTACCAAAGTATCGGATCGATTCTTGGAAACTTTCTTATAACATGCCCAAATGGGGCCTTTTTGTGGTCTGCTGTTTCCCAGGGAAAGGAAGTGCGAGTAGTGGTGGGCACTAGTCGAATATGGCAAATATCGAGTACAGCATCGACTAAGAGAGCTCAGTATCGATGAGTACTCAGTACCAAAGAGTCTACATAACAAGAGGGGCCACTTCTCTCTTTGAGCCAATTAAAAAAGTGTCCTCAAAATTCGGTGGCGCCCTCTTCGCAAAAGCGCACCTTTTGCGAACAGAGTTATCCTACTTGAGTTTTAAAAAATCAAAGTGAAACTAGCAAGTTTTTGTTTGAATTTCGGAAGAACGCTTTTTTAAAATGGTTACGCTGACAAAAAACCTCTTCCGGAGGAAAGGGTGATTGTTTTCTTCGTTTAATTTGACTTTAGAATGAAAGGCGAGAGATCATTAAAATATAAATAACCTAAAACTCCGCACTGAACGAACCCGAACTACTGATGAACAGCAGTCGATCTGCGCACGCAAGGAGGTGCTATTCCTATTCTTTTTCTGGAAAAACGAAAGAGAGCTTCAAAACAGACTGCAGCGCCATCTGAAGCAAAGAGCATACTTCCTGCGGACACTTTTTTGGCTGAGTGGCCCATCTTGTTATTTACTATCTTTGTCAGTACTTATTTAAGGTTCGAACGAAAGTACGTAATTTAAATGCATTTGCATAGCATTAAAACGAAGGGGAGTAGAAAACCCGGGTACCCGAAACCACTACCCAAGTAGCCGGTGTTGAGCTCTTTACCCGGGTCCCCACCCAGCCCTAGTTCCAATCAGTGGCGGTGGGTAGCGAAGGGCTCACGGGCTTGAGCCCCCTTCCCCACCCCCAAGTCTATCCCAAGGCAAATGAAAATAACGAAAAAAGCAGTTGAAACTGTTCTGATCGACCGCAACGAACACAGAGTGATAAACTAGGCGGCTTGCTCGTTTATCCAATCACTGTTGTTCCCGCTTACAACTATTGTAACCTAACAGCCAATCAAATGTCTTTAGGGCTCAGCAGTCAACCAGCCCGCTCCCACGGTCTCTCCTTAATGAAACCCCTCTTGTAAAAGGGTAGAAAACTTGAAAGAAATAACACTGCTCAGAGGGCTCACGCTCTCCCAGCCCTGACAATGGGGTGAAAGTTTACGACACACTTTCCCCCAGTGACACAGTTACCTATGCGCCCATTGGGCCTTTGTTAGGCGAGTTCTATTTTCCGCAACAACACGACCCGATCCACCTCATAGA